TACAATAAATTCCTAATAAAAATAATTAAAAGAATATAAAGCATAAATTAAAAATATTAAAATATATAAGTACAAGACTTGCAAACTAATCAGAATTAGATTCACCACACGAATCAACATTTTCCAAAACATTAGTGGCTATGGTCAATTTCTGCAGTTTTTCTGTGCCATACAGGTGCAGGAACCGATGCAGCCAATATATTTTTCTACATTTGCAAATTTTGCTTCCACAGTCTAGAACACTAATATTGTTAAAATATTGTACATGTATGAAAATTATCGGTGTATAGTATCTTTTTTTGCATTTGCATGATAAGTTCTGTTATGTCTGGTGGCAGAATCTTAATAGTGGGTATCAGACTTCCATCTTGATCTACTTTCCATCCATACTCTTCAACATTAGGAAGCTGCATCTATGACTTTAAAGAGCTTAGCCAAATACTTAGCTGGTAGAAACATCTTAAACAATGTAATCTTAGGGCGTCTTCAGTCGATGGCAATTTAGCAATTATTTTGAAGAGACCAGTAATCCCTTAAAAATGTTAATGGAAGTAACATTGGCAGTTTTTGAATAAAGTTTTATGAAAAATATTTCAAGATTAGAGAATGTGCTTTCAGAGTACCTACGAATCAGTGCCAAATCCATCCAAAAGGTGATAGTGTTGAAGGTAGATTTTCTAACAGGTTCTTTTTTCAATGTCAGACAATTGGCTGGTTGTATCACGACCTGTCACAGAATGAAAATCAGGCACATTTTTTAGAAGTTTTTAATCCAAATTTAAAACATGTACTGCTATAAATCGTCATGAGTCTACTTGCCCTATTCTGAACCATATCTTTTTGGTTTAACACTACTTAAAATAAATTAATAAGAGTAGAAGATCTGTATCGTTCCAACCAATAATGCAGCGTGAATTCCCAGAATTTTTGGCTGATAATATGTGCAATAAGATACGAGTATAAGCTTCTTCGTGATTTGAATTTAGGAAATCGTCTTTTGATGGTTCAAAATTCGTCCCATATTTATTGATATTCGCGAATCCACCACTAGTTACAAATTGAATAGGCTTTTGCTGAATGTAATTTTCAAGAAGTTGCTCTTACAGAAAATGTGTTAAAAGTCTTTTGTTAAATATCGAATGAATGAACAAGTTCCATTACTTCGGAAAGGGAATATTGGGTCTGTTAATTTCTATAATAATTGACTTCTGAGTTCCTCTCTTTTGACCTATTGTATTTTTGATAAAACTTTCTTTATTATGATTAAATACCAGATCTAACCTTTGAGCTGCTACCTACTTTCTGTGCCTAAGCACCTGAGGTGGGATTTATGTCAATCCAAAGTTAGATGCCGACTAACTACAGTGAAGAAGGGGGTGAGTCGTAGAAAAAGTTATGTTCTTCAGTGGGCGCCAGGAGTTTAACCTCACATCCAACAATCCATGTGACAGTTCACTACCAAACTCCAAATAGGAAACTATAGCATCTCCTCTACAAGGCCATCAAGCGGCTACAAATCGAGTATGCTCCTAATATATTAAAAGTGTACTTTACCATAAAAATAAATGTTGACAGTTAGCAAGTGGGGATAAATAATAAGTTAAGTTTAATATATACCCAAGTTTAATAATATAAATAAATAATCATGTTGACATGGGAGGTCAACTTCGTTACCACTATAAAATGTACTGATATTTACCAAATTAAATAACAATTAAATCACTTAGTACATTACTAACAGATTCCCCAACTATTAACAGTAATCCAGTATCACTGGGAGTAATATTTACAACTAAAATACTATATCAAGCTTAAAAATCATTAAATGGGACTAAGGGTAATCGTAAAACTATAACACATGAAGTGTGTACTGTATTTATCAAAGAAAATAAATAATAGTGTACTATTTACGGATGCTAGGGGTAAAAACAAGTAAAACTCTATTACTTATTAAAAATATAGTTACCCATCAGTAATATAACCCACAAAGAGCTCTTGGTGAAGTGTTTCGGGTTTAATAAAAATGTACTGTGAACCCCTTAACCTCGTTTACATTAGGTTTAGATAAAATTATATACTAATAACACCCCCCAATAAAATAGCTAAATAGTAATAAGTGATATGAAAAAAATAAGATAGCAAAACTTGCGGTACACTGTGACTTCTTCCCAGTAGACGTTGATGTCTCTGCTTCGTAAGCAGCATACGAATCAATCAGCTGGTCACAAGATGTGCTAGTCAGCCCGTCACAAGAAGTGTGTGCCCGTCACAAGGACTACTGGTCCGTACCAAGAAGTGTTGGCTTTCACAAGAAGTGTATGTGCCCGTCACAAGAAGTGTGTGCCCGTCACAAGAATACTGGCCCGTCACAAGAACCCCCTTTTTTAAATCCGCAAAGGAGGAAGAAACTATGCACCAGATCAGCTTGGAACGGTAAATTCTTGAACGACTTATTCAGAAAGACTACATATATATGTGGACATAATGAGATTCAACACGTGGTTAAATATATCCTCCTAAGGGCTCCTACAACATGTGTTCACCAAAAAAATACTACCAAATCCACACTCTTGTAACTTAAAACAAAAAGGTTGCTTCGCAATATCCCAAATGGATTGAAACGACTTCCAATAAATTTCGAAACAATACCTTCCAAATCAAAAACCTCGTGTCGAATAACAATCTCGAAAAATCCAGAAAGAGAAAGACGGAACAACGTCATTTGACCTCTCCCAAACCAGTAATACCAACATACCTTAGTGACAGATAGGTATTCCATCAGCGCCCTCTATTACGAAATAAATTCTTGACAGAGAGGGCTAAAATAAGCAAACAGAGCCTCTAAAACGAAATAAAGAGCCCAACTAAACTCAAATAGAGATCCTATCCACCCCAAACTGATCATATACCCACAATTAACGTCAGAGCGGAAACGCTAGACCGACATCTTGAATACAGGGCAGCCACATGCTCACTCGGAGTATCGCAAAGGGTCCTCTCTGTTCGAATATCGACCCCAAAAGCACAGTGGTTAAAAATGCGGGTATAGAAGGACCCATTAAATAATTATTGAACACGGATAAAAACTAGTGTATTCTTATTTTTATGAAAAACCGCTATAAGACCAAATTTAAACGTTACAGGATCTCAGAGGGGGAGCGTAAAATGAAGTATATAATAATTGTATATAACCTTTTTAGAACCAAGAACGGATATGGGGATTGACTTGATTATCAATGGAAAGGGCAGAATACAAGCTTTACTTTGATCTAGTTATTAATACTCAAAAAATAAAAAACGGGGAACAAGAAATGGTTAAACAAAAAAAGGCCGGTTTTCATAGAAAGCGGAATTCCTGCAGGTAGAGCAGCAGCTGAAATGAGGAGACTTTTCAGTGCCATTATCTCGAAAACTATTGAATTTTCGTAGATATTTTTGTAGATAATGAGCTGATCTTCCTTTTTTTGTCTAAACAAAAATGCTCTAATTGGCATATTTAGTCAGATATTAGCGGGAAACCCATTTTCCAGGTTTTATGGGTCCATTTTCAGCCCCTTCCGGTACCAACAACGCGTTAAGGATTTTCTCGTTTAAAACACCTGCGATAACCTACAAATTGCGCTACGAAGGGAACTCATCAGCGAATTTTCTACAAGTTTGACCCATGATACTATTACTCAAGAAGATAAACCCACGCGCATGCGATCAGCCCATCTCTATCGCACGCCTGACGTCACTGGGAGACTACTTGACTCAGCAACAGCCAGTTCTGTTTATTAAATAGGGATATCAAAGAAAAATCTAAAGTGAGAAAGAGGAAAATGACAAAAATTATAAAATAAATTAAAAGTGTAAATTTGTAAATATTTGTCCTATGAAAATTAAGTACTTAATAAATTGTTTATCATTTAAAAAACATTTACGGCCTTCCAAAATCTCAAAAAAATACTGCTGCAAATTGAATCAATACTTCCAAATTTCTGTTGCTGTTTAACTTTTAATGATTTATTACTTGTTTATTCAAACATTTTCAATTTTTACCCCTCCTTTTTTACATTCATCCGTAATTTTTATAAAAATATTAAATTGATTGTAAAATGAAAATGTCTGAACTTTAAAAGCTCTAAAATAAGATTTACCTTATTTTTTTTTTAAATATTTTAAATTTTTACCTCTCCCCTTTTTACTTTTTCTAATTATCTATTAAAATATTAAACGAATAATAAAATCAAAATGTCCATAGCCAAAATCCTATATAACGACATATCACTCGATTTTTTACGAAAAAATTGCAATTTTTTATCATTTTCCCCGACAATTAACCCCCTCCCCTTTACCAATTTTACTCAAAAATATTCCAAACCGATCCCTAATGAAATAACACCTATCTATAGCGCAATTTCTTAAAAAGTTTTGGGATATTTTAAGATAATTAGGCAAGCCAAAAAATATTTAATTTAATAATATATCAATGTTATAAAAATAATATATCGATAATAAATAAACAAAATATTGATTAAAACCGCTCTAGCGTAATGCTTTTCCATGCCCACTAGCTGGATTGTTGTCATCGGGTGACGTCATGCGGAAACGTGGTCGAAATTGGATGGTCAAGTGGGCTTATCTTCTCTAGTAATAGTATCATGGGTTTGACCCTTTAGTTACTGGACTATATATTAAGCTGGATAGTAATTATCTCCGCTATAATCTGTTTAAAGCTGGTAACTTGGTAAAAGGATCAGGCAAAAAATTGTCAACCTTGTAGCTTTATTATTATATTACAGTTAATTAAATTAAAGTTAACTTTTTCTTATTATATACAAATGAGAAAAAATGTTAATTAACAAAAAAATAAAAAATGTAGAGCTTAAACTTCCCAATAAAGAAAAGAAAAAATAAAAAATCAATTTGAATATTTTTCCGAACGAATCTTCTTCATTTAGTTGATATTTTAAGTTAATAGGCATAAAATCTAGCTATATATATATTTTTTTTTTCAGGGTGGTACGGATTTCCTAATTGGCCGTACGAATAATAATTCCATTGATCTAAACCGCAACTTTCCTAATTTGGATAGAATCGTGTTCACCAATGAAGATGAACACATTGACCACAACAATCACTTGTTGGAACAACTCACGCAACTTAGTGAACCGGTATGTCAATTCATTTTTCTATATATATTATTTTTTGTTGAACTAATCTGAATCTGTTTTGAATTAATGATAAATGCTTTTTTTCCCAAAAAGTAATTATGTTTTACAGCTGCTACTTTTAAGTTATACATATAACTTTCAAGCACGTTTGTTCGAAAATAGATTTATTCGAAAAAGTTTAGTTCGAAAACACTATTTTTCGAAAATTGTTTTTTTTTTCTCATTTTATGTATAGTATTCGTTCGACTATCGGAGAGTGCAGGTGAATATTTGAAAAGACTGCTTGGAATCTAGGTCAAGATCAATCGCGTGTGTTTACATATGTGCTAAATTGTGATCGTTCAATAAAAAAATACAATGAAAGCAAAAGTTAATGTTTAAAAGCAAAAGTATAAGTGTGCCAATAAAAATAATTTTAAAATGTGTAGAGAAAATTAACGAAACCGAATTTTCCAAAGCGCAAAAATCAGGTCATGATACAGGAGAAAACTGATATGAAAACAACAGTTTGCGATGACGAGGAAAAAAGTAACAAAAATATAGATTACCTTCAAAGAAAGAATCAGCTATATAGGGATTGACTAAACAATTAAAGGAAATGCAATTAAGAATACAACAAATGCAAATGATGTTAGGTATGCAAAAACAACAACAACAGCATAAACAAACTCAGAAACTCAGAAAAACAAAAGTTAATTTAAAAAAGCTTGGATAGTACAAAGAAGCAAAAGAAATATCAAAAAATGAAAAATGCGAGAACTCCTGAAGTGTCACCTCAAAACACAACCAAAAAACAATACAATCTATAGAAAGAAGCAAAATTAAAACACCCAAATGAAAACGCTCAACAAAGTATTGCACAAAAAGAACAACCTAAACAAAAATTACCACTACCTCAGGTCAAAAAAGAGTTAAGACAAAAACTAATAAGTAAGCAACACAATTTTGTAGCTACCATATTAAATACCAATGAAATCAAATTAAACGTATAAGATGAACAAGAATATAGAACAATGACAACAGATCTCTCAAACCAAGGCTATCATTGGCATTCATATGAGATGGAACAAACCGGACCAATAAGAGTAATGGCTAGAAATCTACACCCTACCTGCAAGCCAGAAGATATAGTTGAAGAATTAAAGCACAGTGGATTTAAAATCTTGGATGTGGTTAAAATTCAAAGAAGAAAAACTAAAAAAGAAGAAAGAGAAAATCAAGTTATAACAACTGCTATAAAAAAAGCCATTGCCGCTATTCTTGTTAACATTTGAAAACTATGAAGACATTAAACGTATTTATGAAATTAAGACATTACAAAATCTAATAATCCAAATTTAGCCAATGAAAAGCCTAAAATTGATAATCCAATGCAAACGGTACCAAAGATATGGGCATACTATACATTTTGGTAATAGGCAACCAGTAAGTGTTAAATGTGCCAAAAGCCATATTATAGAATAGTGTGATAAATTGGCAAGTATACCACCAAATGCGCAAATTGCAATCAAGCACATCCAGCAAGCTATAGAGGATGCGAAGTGGCAAAAGAAATAAAATACAGAGGAGACCAAGTAAGCAAACCTAACCACAATAGATGTACAACCCAATCTAGACGACCTATTATTAATAATACACAAAGAATGGCAAATTTGACATACTCAAACGTGGATAGTAATAACAGACCTAATCAAACTGAAAACGAATCTTCAATAAACAAAATAATGACTATGCTTAATACAATTCTAGACAGAATTACCAGATTAGAGAAGGCCATCTTCCCCCAAACGTCTAGACATCTTTAATGGAGCGCAAAGATTTAATCATTGTAACATAGCATGCCAATGGATTCCTCGACCATCGAGAAAAGCTACAGGTGTTCCTAATAGAACAAAATATAGATATATGTCTTATATTAGAATATTCTAAACGGTGGGTGGTTTCTATTCGCAAAAGGTCGGAAAGAAATGAAGTTTGGTGGAATAGTAGACATGGGTCCCTTGATACTACACCTAAGTTTGTGACCTCGGGAGGTTGCCGCTCGAAGGATGGACGGATGAAAACCCTGCATCGCGACGCTTTTCGGTAAAGAGCGCCGTTGTGGTAAGTGCTATCAAAAAAAGTTCAAATGAAATATGTACAGGACAAAATCGGGCACAATTTTAACCTCTACATTTTTTTGCCTGTGATCAATAGTTACCGCTCTACGACGCGCCAATCTAGGGGGTTGGTTTGCAATGTTCAACAAAATGAGAATTTCAGCGTGGATTAAGACGAAGGTCGCTACGAAACAATTATGTAATATTTTTTTTCTAATAGAGTAATGATTTTTGATCCTGCAGATGCCCGATTTGATACATTTGGTCGTATATAATAAATGATATAATGTTTTAAAGCGCGCCCCTATATATTCCCATATAAACATTTTGTAATTGCCAGTATCTACGGTCAATATTTCCTTATTTTTGTTAACTTACGCGCCAAATTTATTCTTTTTGCGAATACATAATACAAGAACGTATCATTTTCAACTCGTTTCCACACCACCCTTGAGGTATAGTTGATCGGCGTGTTTGTATTAACTTGGTATCCTCAAGAGAACTAATCCTCAATCGATTTTTGGATTTATTCGTCAAACTCGGCGTCTTACGTTTGGTCCTCATCGTCCTGTAACCGATCGTGAACGTTTTCGGCAAATTCTGTATTGTCGTCGTCTAACGCAATCTGGTCCAGAATGTTTTCGCAGGACATCCCAGCACTGTGTAAACACAGAATCGAACATTTATATCCTATTTTACGACAAACACAAGCAAATCTACAACCTTTCTTGCATATGCACGAGATGTTCTTAAGTAAAACATCAGGAGGTGATTCCTTTGCCATCCGTACTGCGTCCAGTCGTGTAGTTGTTCTTCGCCATCCATGCTCTAATAGAGGTTTCTGAATTCCCCGCCAGCTCTGTACTTGACAATGATTATGCAATGAATGATGATGGCCCGCATCTGATGTTGAAGGCAGTGCCGCTAAAGTGAATGAATTTTTTGAGACGGCCCGTACAAAGTTCATATACTGCAGATAATCCAACTTGCGATGTTTGCTTCCTGCACCATACTGCCTCAACGTAAACAGTTCGCCATCGGCAACGAGAATGGTTCATTCGGCATTGGGGTCGTCAAATACCTGAATCACGTCTGTAAATGTTGGGTTTTTTCCAAAGTTTTCAGGAATCGAATTTTGCCTCGATTAAAAAACGCCGATGTATTGTCACATCCACTGAAGGCATGCAGAAATAACATACTTTTCGCTACAGCATCGCTATATTGTAAACTCTGAGGCGAATAGAACACATTCTCCTCTACCCGGCTTGCGCAAATAAAGATTTGAGATCTCTCTCGCTTTAGCAGTCAACAACACAAGTAAATCTACACCTTTTACAATAACGAATACGGAGAAAAAAGAGGCAGCAAGTTTGATGGTAGTCTGCACAATTAATGAATCCGCGTTTTCGATCGCCTGCTTAACATTGTAATTATGTGCTTCCAACTTTGTTTGCAGCAATGCGATGAGGCGTATTTTGTTGAAGCTGTTCGATAAAAATTGTTCTTGTGATACAGTTGGAATCATAGATTCATCGAAGAGTATATCAGTGCTGAGGTGCTGCTTCGAGCAGCGGTTTCTTTCAGCAGATTTCGTACTTGTGTCTGTCCCACTTTCGGGATATCCATCAAAAGCAACAATTGTATTCGGCCCATAATGCCTTGCAATATAGTTAATGTATTTCGTACAAATCATTGCAAATGAATTGTGACGGCCCCACACAACACAATAGAGCTAAAAGCCACCGTCAACAACCTGTATAGTTGTGTTAACTTCTATGACTTTGTACAATGAAGATTTGGCCACCTTGCGCATACCTTCCTCAATGAACACTGAAAGTGGAAAAGGCGCAAGTTCGTACTGTAGGTATTCTTTTAGTTCATCGTCAGATTTTTTTGTAATGTATATGCAAACAACAGAAGCGTATTCATAATAACGGGAATTGACCCAATCTTCACACTATATTTAACAGCTGCTAGTGAGAGAACTTTGTCTTTACGTTTAAATTTCACTGTCTCAAAATATATTGCGTCTAGGGTTGCGCACGATGTATAATTTAAACATGATTAGATGAGCAAAACAAAGTCGCCACAAAATAGTGGTCACGTTTTGTTCCTGCATTTGTTTTGTTATAACGAAGACTTTTCTTTGCTCTTCAATGATTTGTTTTTGAAAAACATCGATATATCTTTTCGATTTTTTACAGTATCGATAGTCTATGTTTGATGTATCATTTGATGTCAATATGAGCGTTTTAAAAAATTTGCGCATGTTAGATAAGTGTCTGGTAGCAAATTGTTTAAATTCAACGGATACTTCTCCAAACAAAACATTTGTATTTATCTCTGGGACTTGAATATGAGACAATTGTGGTTTCAGGCTGTAGGACTTTATAAAAACTATAATATACTGTTGCGAAGATCACTTCAATATAACACTAATTTTTTGTAAGGTAACATATAATATAATTATAAATATATTAATAATGCATTTGTTTATTTACTTATATAATTTATAAAAATGTACTATATTAGTAAACTACTGTAAAAATTTCGATAAAAATATAAACATACAAATGAAGATTAGGTTAAAACAAAACAACACGCAACTGACAACTGATCTGATACAAATACAGCGTTCAAGAATTGCTCCCAACCACTCTGAAATCCTTCTCTTTTCCTCTTAAATGAAAGAAAAAATCTTGGATGTTCAAAAATTATTTTTATTATTTCGTAGGGGTAATATTGGGATTTATTTGGGGATTTCCTGGGAAGTAATTACTAAACTTTAGTCAACTCATTGTAATTTCGTACCTGTATATACACAACTATTAGTTATACAAACTTAAGTAAAATAGTCTAAATACCAGATTACTAGCTTTAATAGATAAAAAATGTTCGGATAGGTCTGCTCATTTTACCTACTACTGGTAGTTGTATACATATTTCATTTTCACAATAGATACAACTTTAAAAAATATAAAACTTAGTATTTAACTTTACCATTTATACTAGTTATAAAGTTCAAAGAAACTAAGATCAAAATAGAAGCTACCTAATCAAAAATTTTCCAGATATATATTTCTTCCCTTCCGGAACAAGTCTGGCCGGTTTAATTAATTATTTCAACTTACGGTTCGGCTTCAAGTAAAACAAAAGCCATTTTCCAACTTATCCAACTCGGTTTGTACAAACACCGTTTCGCGGTTTACTTTGGCTTAATGCATAAAAATTTAGTTTTAAATTTCAAAATGTGGCGGGTACATTGGAGAGAGAGGCAGTGTCAGGAGAAGATTGCCATCAAATCACACTTCTCGTTTTTTTAAATTAATAATTATATTCAAAATAAAATCGATATCAAAAAATAAACAAACAAAATATGCGTGGAAAAAATCGGATTATGAAAAGAACTGTTTAGCAACAAATCCAGCAACGCCAATAAGAGGAAAAAGCCAAACTAGTACTCATGGGCGAAGTTATGTCATCAGATCTGGGGGGGCTAAAGCCCTAGCCCTAGTCATATAATATATAATAGTTCTAGAGGTATACTGAAGTTAAGTAAAAAAATTCTGGCGAATCTATGAAAATGGATAAAATATCATATATAATATATATTTATATCAAGTAAAAAACCTGAAAAATGTTCATCACAATAATTCATTAAAAAAATTTCCTCATTTTCGCAGTCATGAAATAGTAGTTTGTGCAACAAGAGTAGATATGGACAATTCACTCGAGTTGTAAAGTATATTTTTTCTATGAACCACTAAGGAAAATATAAAAATTTAAAAAATTATTTTAGGTTTAGACAAAATAACTAATTTTAAAATAATTTATGAATTTTATTAATTTATAAAATATAATAAACATAAAATAAGCCCCTTGTCCAGATTCGAACCCAGGCTATTCGCGTGGAATCTAGATGCTCTGTCCTCTGCTTCACTCCACTCCAGGTTTTTAGTTTTAATACTCGTAATTAAATCAGTTTCATACAATTTGATTAAAATTCATTTTTTTAAATGTGGCCCAAATAAAAATAAAAATGCAATTTTTTATCGATTCTAAACAAAAATAACTAATTTTAACGTATGTAATCTTAATGTCTAAAAAATATACTGACAGAATTTAAAATTTTAAAAATAATAGTAGTTGGGTGTCCAAAATATGAATTGTGATTGGTGGATTTCATTTTTTTGCAGTTTTCTCACTATGTTATGTTGGGAATGGGGTGTTAATACACTGCGACCTAAAAGATCTATTGTGCCCCCTTCTGTCGCTTATGCAGCACGGAAATGTCTCGATGCCTATAACGATCCTTTCAATTATGTTTTCTCAAGGAAGTATAGGATTTGGAGTGGCTTCAAGTTAGGTAAATTTCCCTCTTTTATTTTATATGCTCCTAGGTATAGTGCCCTTTGATTGGAGTGCTACACATTCATTTAGAATGTGAACGAAGGTTTCGTCCTCCTCACAGAATCTGCAGTCACTATCTTCTACTAATCTCAGTTTACTAAGGTGTCCTTTTAGTTTTCATTGTCCAGTAAGGATCCCTGTTACAAGTGTTCTCACTACTAGAAACATGTATAATATGAAAACAACTTCAAATACAATCTGGCTAATGTGGAACACCCTGAAAGCCTTGCCAGACTCATCTAATGATCGCCAGGCGCGCTAAATTCGGCACGTTCGATTGCTATTCCTCTCCTCGTTTAACTATTTGGCTTGTCAGTCCGACCAAAATATGGTTTTATAACCGAAACAGAAACTAAATTTCGGCTCCTTTCTTAGTTTCGGCCGAAACCGAAACAGAAACAAGAACTTTGTTTTAAGGCAATCTCTTATTGAAATTTGCAGTATCTTATTGTTTTAGACTAATTAACTCGTATTATAAATTTAAGCTACATTTACTTATTACCTATTTATTTTTAGTGATCAAAAGTAGCCATTAATAAATTTATGGACATTCTTTTTTTTATTACTTTTAAAATTAAAAAAAAAGTAAGTGAATTACAAAGTATCAATTATTTCTGCATCTGTAGTAGATATTTTGTAACAAAAAATAGTATTATGAAGGGAATTATATATAATGTATAATTTTTATAAAAAAAAAAAAATAAACAAATTCAGCGGATTAAATATGTTTGTTACTTATAATTAAATTAAACAGTCTAACGTTGTAGGGTAAAAAAAAATATTTTTCCACGTTTTCACCTAAAAAATTGCTCCTTTGATCCGAATAAATTAGGCCAGGAGCACTAAAGACTGTTCACTTGAAACAAAGCAGAGATGTTTGTGTGTACGTGCACTGTGTAAGAATGGCACCCGGCACAGTCGCCATTGTGCAGGACACAACCAAGTGTGATACGAAAACTTTCGAAAGTAGTTTTGCTGTCGGCTGCAGTTTCGGCCAGTTTTCCGTCGAAACCGAAACTGTAGTCGAAACTCTAATTTTAAGCCGAAGTTGGCCGAAACCGTAACCGAACCTTCGGTCAGACACTACTTGTGAGTCTGGCAGGCCTTCGTGATTGTAATTTTCAGCCAGACGTGTATTTTCACTTAGAATACCACTAGTGACTAAATTATTTCCGGAAATTTTTTCAAACTTAAGAATATTTTGAAATTTACTCGAAGACGATGGATAAGTTTCTTAAAATATGCGTGAGTGAGCAAAAATTTACTTACAATAATTTAAGCACATGTGGTATTAGTAAGAAAATTTTACACCAAAATATCCAAATTTCAAAACTTGACAGACATACATTAAAACGAATAAAATCAAATTTTCGAAGGTGGCCATACCACAGCATATAAAACATATATTTTTAAATGCTGTGGCCATACCATGACCATTTGTCATATTTGAAGTCGTTTAGTTGACGCGAAAAACCTCATTATTATTTTACTTAAAATAAATGTAGTGTATTTCTACCTAGTTATAATTGATATTAAATAAAATATTAACCACTAAAACGGCAAATTTTTAATCACACTATCGCGTTGCGTCGTAATATTTT